AAGGTGTTGACAGTAAACTTGTGTTTCACCAAAGGGGATTTCACTGCTCTTATGCAGATCCGACAAGATTGGAAACTGGCTGAACTCGTTGCGACCAAAATTCTGATTCCACAAAGTGAGTTTTTTTAGGAAGGCAGAAATAACAGATTTTGTTGAGATCAAATTGAGCTCTTCGCCTTGAAGCTGCAAATTAATTCCATTGAATTTTGCGAATAAATCGGCCATGTAAGCAACATCAGTGTTAAATTGTAGCAATCTGTCTCTCAGAGCTACATCTTTCTCTTCGAGGAACTCAAAAGAAAGTAGAAAGTACAGAGTAGAAAAGATTCCAGAACCTATTGAGACAGGCACCTTTGGAAAGCCAGCAAACCTTGGTGTGTAGAAGCAAGCGATTGAATTCTTCATCGTTGCCCTTACACAGCTGCCCGAATAATCGATCGTTGAGAGCATTACTGCGAATTTTGTTCACGGCAGAGATGACATATTGTATTGACTGATGCAAACGGTCTCTGAGGTTTTTTGCAACTAAATGCTGTCTATGAATCATGCAGTGAACAGCTAAAATACCTGGTACCTCTTTCTTCAAAAAGGCGATGAACCCACGATGACGACCTACCATTGCAGGAGCTCCATTGGTGGCAACAGACATAATGTTCGCAAAAGGAAAATTTTTCTCTTTAAAATAATCTTTGACAGTATTAAAAATAGATTCACTTTTAGTATCTGCAATCAAGCTTCTTGCAAAAAGCATCTCTTGAATAATTTTTCCTTCCTTCACAAACCAGACGTACGCTAACAGTAAAGCCTCATTAGTACTTGGCAAGGTTGATTCATCAACCTGAAGAGAAAATTTGGTGGGTATCAAAAATTTGCATAAGGAAGCTTCAACATCTTCAGCCATCTCATCAATTCGTTGTCGCACTGTATCATTGCTTAATGGGACATTTTTTATAACATTGGATGTGGCTGGATGGCGTAAAACCATTTCTAAAACTTCCTTGACAGCCAGCAGTATCAACTCTTCGCCGATGGTATGAGCTTTCCCCGATTCAGCAATGAATTTTGATATATTATAAGAGGCTATCGAACCATCGTCACATTTTTTTGAT